GTCATTGCGGCGGGTGTTGTCGAGCCGCTAGAGTCCATCAGCTGTGGGTTTGTACATACCCGCGAGCCTGCGAGGAGTATGGCCTGGAGCAGGAGAAGCGAGGGAGGGTTCTTGGGATCGCGGTATTGGCGCATGAAGCGGCTGCGGTTGATGACGGGAACGACGGGGGCTACCCATTTGAAAAAGGCCTCGACGAGTTCGTCACACAGGGCGCGCGGGGGGAGTAGGAAAGCGCCCCGTTGGTGCAGTATCTCAATCTCCATGTTGTCCATCTCATTGACTCTTGCTTTTGCGCCTCGCACATTTTCGGGCAGGGGGTAGTGGACGACATCGGTGGTGCCATAGCGGTCGTGGACAAGTAGCGACAGGTTGGAAGACTCGCCCATATATGCCACGCGGCCGGCTTCCTTGATCGGGGCCCTGGCAAACTTTGGTTTCATAAACTGCACATAGGTGCCATTATGGGTAGCCTGCTGGGCGGCGTAGGCAGGCGAGACGGTGGTGGACGGAGTGCCATCTTCGGCGTTGAATACGATTGATCTCTCGCGCGGCTCGACTGAGGTGCTCGCTGGAGAGCGGTCGTCGCTGTCTCCTCGCTCACTGGTGTAGCGTCAGGCTTATGTGCAGATGGTTGCGGGTGCAGTCACAGTACCTTTCAGCGTCCTTTGCGCGGGCCGTCTGTGTCTTCTTGCGCTTAGGCTGGGGAATGCGGCACTCGATGCCAAAGGCGGTGCAATTGGTGCAGGGAATGCCGAGCGAGGCAGCGTCGCACCGTACCTGTACTCATGAGCTTAGTGGCGGCAGCGGGGCAGATGTGGCAGCCAAGGGCTCACCTTCCTGGCGTGGCATGCTGCGATGCGTCGTGGTTAGCAATCGTCGTCTCTCGTGTGGTTGACCGAGGTGCCGAGGCTCGTGCAGGCCTCCTCTCCCAACTATCCCACCGACCTCGACAGCATTCTTCTCGCGCGCGTCAGGGGATTGCGCAGACGTGGGTTGCACTCACTTTCGCACGCCCGGCTGGCGCGTTGTCGCCGGAACGAGGGATGTCCTGGGCCGGCAGAGGCGGAGGCAGCCTGCGGCTGCGGCGTTGCGGACGGCCTATACGATCATGAGCATGCGGTACTCGAAGGGCGCGCGACAGCACCTACGGAGACGCATTACTGCCGGGCTGGGCTGCGAGGGGCTGCGGCGCTGCAGCGGGCACTGCGGCGGGCACTGCGGAGGCCATGAAGGAGTGCTCGGCCGCCATGTCGTCGCCGTCTCGGTCTCGCTCAGCGTTGTCGTCGAGGGTTGAGGTTGTGATTCGCCCGCCGTCTGGTCGTCTTCTGCGGTCGGTAGCGACTAGTGCGGGCGCTGGGGTGCACGGGAGTCTGCGGCAAAAGCATCGATCACAGCTGCCAAACACGCGACTGTGCGGTTAGGTTTACATACTGTGTTGCCTGTCGTCCGAATCGACCTTGCAATTACATAAGCCTACAATGGGTTTCAGGTCGGAGACATGCCTGGCCACCTTCACTCGCTGCCAGTGCGCTTGTGATGCACCCTGTGGCCATATACGCCCGCCCGCCCGGCGCCGTCCAAGCATGCGCCTGCAGGCCTCCGTCTCCATGCACACATGCCTGCCTACACATGTCCCGTCGCTAATCGACGGGGCCGCCATCACATGCTGCGGCCCCTGGGCGAAGGATCGCATACTGGGTTCACACGTCCGCTAGTAAATGACAATCGACACCGATCAAGACGGCTGGGCCTCGCCTCTGCGCTTGAACGCCTCCAGCTTGACCGCCTTGTTCGTCGCGTTGATGTATTGGAGCACTATCTCGCCTGCTCGCTCCCTGGCCACCTCTTCCTCAGAAGCAAACACAAACCGCTGGTGCTCCACCGGGTCAAGTACGACGGCGTCAGCATGCTCCACCTCCATCTCGAAAATGAGCTTCAACCACCTCGTCGTCGGCCGACCGGCCTCCTCGTCGCCAAATGTAAACTGCGCCACCTTTCCAAGCACCCGCGTCGCCCCAAGTCCCGTTTCTTCCTTCAACTCTCGCGCCGCACCATGTAGGATTGTTTCGTCGTCATCTTCCACCTTGCCCCCGGGAATCTCCTGTTCTTTGTTAATCTCCACCCGTCGCACTTGACATGTGACAGTGCCAATCAAAAGCAACAACTATCCTCCGCAAACTTACCCAGCAATCGGGAAACGCCCTCTCATCAGCTGCACGTTGTACCAGCAGAAGCTTGCCCTCCTTGTCAAACACTACTGCTCCAGTGACGAGGACGTCGTGCTGCCCATGTTGGCTCAAGTACTCGGGTGCAGAAATGGCAAACTCCTGCAAATCAGCAGAGTACTCTAGAGGCTTCGAGCTAGTCATGTTGGAAGTAAGCTGATGTTGAATTGCACAGAGTGATGGTTCTGCTGGATCGTGGATTGCAGCCTGTGTGTCGAGGCAGCTCATCCAGGTTTATGTATGATGCTTCTACCGTCGTTGCCTTGAGCCCCCCTAACGCACCTTCCTTGGGCGCCCTCAATGCTGTAGCCTGCCAATCCAGGCAATACTCTCTTTTTTTATCTGCACGCCTGATTTGAAAAAAAAGAACATGAGTCAACCTGCTCCTCAACCCGGCAAAGTTCTGCTACAAGTTGCGTACACGTGACCCAACCATTCGCGCGTCTAGCTCCGCGCTAGATGGTGAATTCAGTGCGTCACGACCTCGACACGCCCTCGTCACCATCGCTATCGCACGGTCGCCGCCCATTCTGAGCTCACCTCCCACATCCTCTTGCGACTGCGCCTGATAATCATTGCCACCAAAAAGTCATACTGATCGCTTGCGACAATGCCTCGCCCGCCTAGAGCAAAAGTCGCGTCGCGTGTCGCGAAGCCGAGCAAGCCAAAGGCCGCCCCCGCGGTCAAGCAGCAAGCGGAATCCATCCCAGCACCAACCAAGAAAATTAGCGAACCAGTCAACAACTTCAGCGAGGATAGCGACGGTCTTGTTACCAGGACTAGATCAACGCGATCACAGAGGAAAATGCCTGGGGAGAATACACCAGAGGTTCGTGGCGAAGCTGAGCTCACAATGGCCGGCGCGTTGCCAGCAGAAGAAGAAGAAGATCAAGTTCTAGAATCATCAAGCAAGAATCGTACACCAGGGTCTAGCGCTTCCAAGCGAGCGCGAACAAGCAGGAGTAGCGCTAGGAAGTCTACAGGGAAATCATCGCCTGCTATCACTGCACCTACGCAACAAGACATCCAGGCCGAAAGCTCCCATGTAGAAGAGGACAGTGGCTTTGGCGATCTCACTTTCTCGTCACTCGGCTCAAATTCTCCAGCCCACGGTACACGCCCACCATCCGCTGTCAAGGTTGGCGCGACACCTGCACACGAAAGATCAATACTAGCTTTGACCAACTTCAAGCGGAGAGCCCGACAGCCAAGTTTATTGCGCATGGTACAGCAGACAACAGACGTCGAGGATAACGACGACGATAGTCTGGACAATACCGACAATCTCGACTTTGACGATTTCCTCCCACACGCCGAATCAACCCCCCTCAATGTACGAAGGCATGCACCTGAACAAGAGACACGGAATGATAGTGGCACCCACGTCTCTAGCTCTGGTTCCCGTGGCAGAAAGCGGAAATTGTCACCAGTAGTCCAAGTACCACAATCGTCGCCCCCGGCCAGTCCACAGTCTGCAAGTGACACAGAGCCGGAAAGGTCTCAATCCCCCAGCTTACCAGAAATCACAACGCCACGCAGACAAGTCGTTGAGCAAACTCAAGAAAATCAAGAGCCTATGAGTGACACACTGGCATCTCCTATGTCAAGCAGTCCATTACGAGAAATGTCCAAGCCCCCACCATCACCGACACATACCCGACCACGCCGTAGAGGACAGCGAGCCAAAACACATGTGATAGATGATGAATCCGAAGGCGAAGAGACAGAAACGCCTGCAAAAGCTAAACGGGCGTCCAAAAAGAAGGCAGACCAAAGTATCTCAACTGCACAACTCAAAGATCTGCTGCCTCGTAGGCGCAACCGCTTACGTGATCGTGACGAGTTTGATATAGAGTCCTCAGAAGACGCTGAACAAGCCGACTCAGACCAAGACGAGTTGCAGATGCCCGAACGAAGGATCCGCCAGCGGCAAGGCGCTGGAAAGCTGGCATCACCAAAGGCAACAAAGAAGACGGCGCGGGGGAAGAAGGCTGGACCGGCGAAAGCATCAAAAGCCGCGCAAAAGTCCAGTAGGACTTATAGCCGCAGGATCTCTTCGGACAAAGAGAATGAGACTGGGGCTCAGAACGAAGCAGAGACGACTGAGGTGTCTGCGATTGAGCATTCTGAAAAGCTGGCTGCTATAAGAAAAAAGTTTGAGGAGGTTGATGCCTTTGAGCTGGAGTTTGAAGATGTGGATCCGACAACCAGCTCCAGTCCTTTTCGATGACCAGCACACTTATACGTCTTCTAAGTGGCGGTCTGCCGTTTTCCGTGTTCCTTACAGTATGACGATTGATGATTGCTTTTCTATGTTCGGTGCAGGGTGTATTAGTAGTGTGTGGCGTTTGCTTTCCAAGTGGTCAAATGATCCAAAGCCATCGGATGGCAATGACTTTGCTGTAGAGACGAGTACATATAGGCACTAGCTGCGAGTGATTCAACATGTCAATTCCCGATTGTTTACCTCGAAGCAAATGCACAGTGAAGGTTCGCTGCTCAAATGGCCCGAATATGGCATGGTACGAAGCCGATCGTTATCTGTCCTTATCGTCACGCGGCAGTCCACAGTGACCTAGAGGTACGAGGGGCCCAGCAAGCCGCAATTACTTACGTATCAGCTTCATTTGGGCGCATTGCAGGTCTTCTCTTAGTGACTTGGCATCGCAGGTTCTGGCGGTTGGGCGGCACAGTGCAGGGCCGTGCTTGATTGAAGGGGTGGTGCAACTCCGGTTACGTTACGTAGCGCTTCCTTTCCCCAGCTATTCGAGACTCACGACACCCCGGCATCCGCCCACACACATACTCACAACACCCCCAGCTCTTGCTCTCAACATCCGCGCAATGTTCCCATAACCCTCATGTCATGCGGCTTCCCGACCACTCCAATCATTTGGCCTATGCAGCACCACCCTTACCCACTCCGCCTGGCGTCCGCATGCCATGAACCCCTCCAATGGCTCTTCACTATCCACCTCCCAGAGCGGCTCGACCCTGCGGCCAAGAACCAAGAGGCTGATCTCGGTCGAAGATGACATTTACGCGACCGACGGGAGCGACAGTGGCCCGAGTAGGGGTACCTCGAGACTACCCTCGCGGAATGCCTCTCCTGGCTCGCTTTCACGTACGGGAACCGCCTCGTCTTCTCGTCTCAACGTCACCTCCAGTCCTTTATCCTCCTTCCAGCGCTCTCCGGGAGCACAACCTCTGAAATCACCCTCACTAGCATTATCGGGGCTCCTGGGAAACTCATGGTCGGCTATCCAGGGTATCGCAGCCACCGTCATGGCTAGCGACACCTCGGATGATACCCGCAAGAGGAAATCCGGTCACGGACGCCGCACATCAACGAGCGCACCTCCGCCGAAGCACTGGGGCCCCGCAGGCGCCGGTTCGCATGTGGGAGCTGGGACACATGAGGAGAGGGAGGCTATGGTCAGGGCATTGAAGCGCAAGGACCTCTTGACCGCCAACGAACATTTAGTACCAGACTCTGTGGGCCGCATAAAGCGCAGAAATTCGGACGAGGACCTAAGTACTCCCGGGGCTGCCACCGAGAACGAGGATCAAGACGCGCTCGTATACATCCACCATGTCCGACCACAGGACACCCTAGCAGGTCTAAGCATCAAATACAACTGTGAGCAGGCAGTACTACGCAAAGCGAATCGCATGTGGCCAAACGACAGCATACAGATCAAGAAGCAAGTTGTGCTGCCAGTAGATGCTTGTGGCGTCAAGGGACGACCAGTACAAGGGCCAGATGCGCTTCCTACAGAAGATCTTCTGCTAGGGGAATATGCCGATAGCTCAAGTAGCAAGACTTCGGCTGCGAACACACAGGGTCTTCCCAATGGTTGGAGTTCACCAAAACTAAAGAACCAGGACACTACTACTACTACTATTACCTCCTCTTCTGATCCAGAACCGCCATGGAAGCATGACTCTTGGGTACTACTACCTAACGAGAGACAACCAACAGAGATTGCCCGGATGCCACGTAGAGCGTTGGGTTTCTTTCCGCCGGCCCGACGAAAGTCTCTTGCTTACTCAGATGCCTCTACGCCTCGACCATCTGTCGATGTCCCTCGCTCGTCCACATCGACAAATCCCATTACGAGCTCTCCTTCTCAACCCGTGAGACCGCGTGCATCAAGTAATCTTTCCTCGGCCTCGGCGCACAGTCGGCAAAGGAGTACGTCAGGCAAACCCTGGGCTTTGCAAGGCCCAGGTGGTGTAGGCACATTGGGCAGAAATGTACGAAGCCCAGGGCCTGCGCAAGATGGTCTGAACAAAAAGTTTGCTCAGTACTTACCAAATGTGGCGCCACCACCTGGCCAAGAATACTTTACACCATGGGCGCCGAGCTTGCTAGATGCGGGTGCAGGAACACCGAGTCAATACGGTGGTTCCGGAGCTGTCACACCACTTGGTGGCCCTGGTCTTGACTTTCAAGAGTTAGGTGGTGCAATAGAGGGTTGGGTGAGGAAGGTCGGTACACAAGCGCAAAAGCTTCTGAATGAACCAGGCACCCCCGGACAGGGCAAACGGTCTGCTGTACCTGTGATTGGAGCTGTCGGCGGCGATCTGGGTGACCTCATAGAATTGCAAGATGACGCTTTCGAAATTGGAGACGAAGAACGCAACAGGGGTAGGTCACGAGCGGAAGAGACGCTCGCTTCGACCAGTGAGCGCTCAGCGTCAAGGTCTGCGAAGCAGTATCAATCTGCCAGACCAGATATCAATCTCGTGCTCAGAGAAAGGACACGAAAGAGTGAAGGAAACAAGAAAGACTAAGCGGCAATCAAGCAGCTTCGGAGTTAGGGTTGGAGTTTTATAGCTGCCTGCATGGTTTTATAGCTTAGTGCGGATTTGGGTGTGACCCTGCGGATTTGCAATGCATTATTTCTGCACAGTCTCTTGTCATTCCTGTAATTATTGTTACCACCAAGTCCAGTTGGATCGGCTGTAAAAGCATAGGCGTAAAATGTACATCCGTGTAGAATTCACTAGTATAACGACGGTTTTGGTCGGACTGCCGAACACCGTGCACTTCCACTGAATCCATAGCGGGACAAGATCAAGATGCGCTAAGTAAACACACTCGCACGTGCACATTTTGGTGCTCGGCTTCTCGCGCCTAGCACTAATATCAGTCTGCAAACGTGGGTATCCTAGATGTTGGTCAAAAGTGCATTAGGCAGGTCGCTTGTTGCCCTGCGGCATCGATCGGCATATGAAGTTACTCCACTCCGACTTGCTCGATACCTGACTGTACCAACTGGTCGTCCCGCCCTCACTCGCACATCGCCTCTGCCACCGTTGTTGTGCCCAGCCCCCAAACAACGACAGCCTCACCTCACTTCCAACATAAGCCAGATTTCACAAACCCAAAGAGCACGCTTCGCAACGACACAGCACCTCACCGTCGCAGCCATGGTAGCAGAATCTAGCTCGGACCCGCGTGTTGAAATTCGCACGCCGCGGGACCCAAACACCTTGTCCAATTATCACAATTTTGTGACGAGACATACGAGCGTGGATTTTGATATTGATTTCGAGCGCAAGAGGCTGTTCGGTAGTGTGGTGCTTACGTTGGAGTGTTTGACGGATGAAGATGTGAAAGAGGTTGTACTAGATGCGAGGTATGTCTGAGCATAGGAAAAGGCAATTTAATCAAACGCAATACTAACAAAAAAAGCTACTTGGATATCTCCGTCGTAGAGGTTGAAGGCAAGAGTGTCAAATTCAACGTTGGCGACCGTGTAGAGCCATATGGTAGCCCGCTCTCCATCACTCTCCCATCCCAGGTGCCAAAGGGCAAGACGGTTGATATTGAGATTAAAGTTGCCACTACCGACAAATGCACGGCGCTGCAGTGGATGACGCCTGCGCAAACATCAAACAAGAAGCACCCATACATGTTTTCGCAATGCCAGGCAATTCACGCACGATCAGTGTTTCCTTGCCAGGATACTCCGGACGTTAAATCAACCTTTAGCTTTGCCCTTCGTTCACCACTGCCGGTCCTTGCTTCGGGTCTGCCAACGGGCGCCACTGACTACCAGCCGCCCAAGAAGGATGGCGAGAGTGGTACTATGAAGTATACGTTTGAGCAGAAGGTTCCAATGACTGTCTATCTTTTTGCTGTTGCAAGTGGTGATCTGGCATCTGCCAGCATCGGTCCGCGCAGCACCGTCTGGACTGGCCCTGAGGAGCTTCTCAAGTGCAAGGATGAGCTCGACGGAGAAATCGAGCCTTTTATGAAGGCGCTCGAGTCCATTGTTTCGCCTGCTTACCAGTGGGGACAATATAACGTACTCATTCTGCCCCCATCCTTCCCATACGGAGGTATGGAAAACCCCGTCTGGACATACGCTACACCCTCCATCATCTCAGGAGACAAACAGAATGTTGATGTCATTGCCCACGAGCTGTCGCACTCTTGGTCCGGCAACCTCGTTAGCGCAGCCAGCTGGGAGCACTTTTGGTTGAACGAAGGCTGGACTACGTACTTGGAACGCAGAATCGCTGCTGCCCTTCACGGAGAAGCACACCGCCATTTCTCTGCCATCATTGGCTGGAAAGCACTTGAGCAAAGCATTGAAAATTATGGGAAAGACCACCCCTACACCAAGCTGGTCTTGGATCTCAAGGGCCAGGATCCGGATGATGCATTCTCCTCTATTCCATACGAAAAGGGGTTCCATGCCCTGTACCAGTTTGAGCTACTGCTCGGAAAGGACAAGTGGGATTCGTTCATTCCCCACTACTTTGATACATTCAAGTTCAAGAGCGTAGACAGCTACGACTTCAAGAGCTGCCTGATAAACTTCTTCGAGAAGGATGCTGAGTCCAAGGCAAAGTTGGATAGCTTTGACTGGGACAAGCTGTTCTACGCGCCTGGCTACCCAGTCAAGCCGGACTTTGACCAGACTATGGTCAAGAGTTGCTACGAGTTGGCGGACAAGTGGGAGGCGCTCGTCTCGTCTTCGAGCGACTTCAAGCCTAAGGCGTCAGACATCGAAGGATGGGTATCCAATCAATCCGTTGTTTTCCTTGAACGTCTCCAATCCTTTGCAAGCAAATTCTCAGCCGAGAATGTCCACTTGCTCGGTGCGACTTATGGCTACAAGACTACTCAAAACATCGAGGTATCATCACGATACTTGAGCATCGGTCTCATGGCCAAGGCGGAAGAATCGTACCAGCCATCTGCTGAGCTATTGGGTCAAATTGGTCGCATGAAGTTTGTGAGGCCCATGTTCAGGCTGCTGAATGAAGCCAATCGCGATCTAGCGGTCAAGACGTTCGAGAAGAACAAGGACTTTTATCATCCGATTTGCAGACAAATGGTTGAGAAAGACTTATTTGGGAAGGAGAAGTAAGGAGCCAGGAATTAGGGTATGAAAAAAATGAATGCAAACTTGAACTTGTTATGGAAATGTCTTTGGATGTTAGTGAACGACCATTGGGTAATTATCACGTACGTTCTCTGACAGAACAGCGGAACTCTTGATACTAATATCAAGTGTCTACCATAATACCCTCGGAATAACTCCAGATCTAACCCCAGCTCTCGGTGGCACTCAGCCGAGAAACCAGACGTTTCTCGCGGCGAAACGTCCCGCCGGAATACCTAAATCAGAACTTCCGCCTCCCCCCCCCCACCTCCACGCATACTGGGCTGCTGCATCACCCACGGAGCCCCCGTGGCGTGTGTTTAACCCCTCATTCAACCGGAGAGAAGACAATACCCCATCATTACACTTAGCCCGCATCTTATATAAAAACCCGCATCCCGAGCCGCTCGCGAAGAAGAAAAAAAATGGCACCACCCAAACGCGCTCTTTTCTCCCTCAATCTCGACACAGACGCCGACCACGTTTACCAAAGAGTCGAAGACCACAGTAAGCCCAGCGACGAGCGCATCAAAGTCCTTGAAACCAAAGGGCCTACACATGGCCATACCGATCTAAGTTTCGTAACGAAGCCCTTTGAAAAAACCGTAAATCGAGCCGTTGAAAACGTGCTCGACGGGAAAAAAGTCGTATCAAAAGAGGGCGAGATAACATACTCTTCCACGAGCTCTGGTACAACACGATCAAAAGGCCGAGTCACACGCAATACCGAAGACGACTCATCTTCCGACGACCACGAACCCAGCAACCTAAACATTGTCAGCAAATCCAAGCGACGCTCCCTGGAGAAGAAATACGACACTTCTGAACTCTAAAAACAACCACACACACATATATATATATATACACACACCCCATATATCGACCAACGGAAAGAAAAAAATGGCAAACCAAACCCCCCTCCGCATAGTCGTAGGCTGCGACGACGCAGGCGTCGGCTACAAAAACACGCTGATCAAAGACCTCGAATCCGACTCGCGCGTGGCCAGCATCACAGACGTCGGCGTGCCTTCCTCGTCCGACAAAACCGCCTACCCGCACGTCGCCGTCTCCGCCGCCCAACTCGTCGCCTCGGGCCAAGCCGACCGCGCCCTGCTCATCTGCGGCACGGGCTTGGGCGTCGCCATTTCCGCCAACAAAGTGCCCGGCATCCGCGCCGTGACGGCGCACGATAGCTTCTCGGTCGAACGCGCGATTCTGAGTAACGATGCGCAGGTGCTGTGCATGGGCGAGAGGGTCGTCGGGATTGAGCTGGCGAGGCGCCTGGTGAGGGAGTGGTTGGGATATAGGTTTGATCAGTCGAGTGCGAGTGCGAAGAAGGTCGAGGCGATTATGGAGCATGAGAGGAAGAATTTTGAGGGGTTGGTTAAGGAGCAGGGGGGTCAGGGCTGTTAAGCCTTCTTTTTTTTTAGCTACTATTATAAATGTTAAAGCAATTTTTTTCTTCTTCTGCTTCTTCTTCTTCTTCTTCTTCTAGGAGTGCTTGAATTGATTTCAATATAATATGTATAATGTTCTCTATGTACACGGTCATGTTTTTTATGACCCAAATTCCCAAATATCCTTCTTATATCCCTCGGTCAATTCCTCATCCATCCCATATTTCTCCTGCCACTCTGTAAATCCACCCTTAAGCACCACCACTTTCTGCTTCTTTCCTCCTTCCTTCTCCCCTCCCTCTTTCTTCTCGACTCCCTCCCCTTCCTCCTTGACCTCCCCCTTGGACTCGACTCCCCCACTTCCTTGCAGCCTCTCCTTCTCCCTCAGGTACCTCAACGCAGCACTTGGCCCCCGCTGCTGACTCAACGCACAATGGAACACCACAGTCTCTTTATCTTGTAGCGTACGCAGCAGTTCAGGCAGCTTGAAGTCGAGATCGCTCGAGGGAACCCATGTGGAGCCTCGGATGTGGCCGCCGATGTGGTCACTGTCGCGCACGTCGATGATGGCTGTGGAGGCAGGGAGGCTGCGTTTGGATTGTGCGTCTGTAGCTTCAGAGGTGGAAGGAGTAAAAGTTGAGGCGAGGGTTTCGCGGTCTATGAATTCGAGGTCTGAGAGAGTGATGGAGGACATTGTTGCTGCGGGGCTGCGCGCGGGGTTGCGAGTGTGTGGTAGTTTGAGGCGGAAGTGTCGTAGAGCCAGGTTGGGCGGGAGAGGCGGCGGCGGGCAAGATTATATCTTGTATGTGCGATAAGGACAGCGTGGGGAGCAAAAAGACGGTAGGTAGGTGTGGCTTTCCAAGGTGTGTACCAGCCAGTGACGTAAAAAGTTGGCGTGGGCGGGGCAACGACGACGGGAACGCGTGGGCGGGTGAGAGGCGTTTGTTTACACCTAGAGGGAAAGACGCAATTGACATGGGATATGGCGACATATATATATATATATATATATATATTTCCCAGTCTTGGGAGTTGTGCGTTGATATAAAACGATATATTTATAACTAAAACTGAAAACGTCCGAATATTGCAATTGAGAGTAAACGACACATCATCGAATTCAGGTGCTCATATTCACACCACGCACCGCATACATCCACTATTTGAAAACCCCCATGCAAACCAAAGGTATAATACACATACCGTATCGCCAAGAACGCCAAACAAGCCTCCTAAGCACGCCATTACCTTGGAGCTTTAATCATGCTTTGCGCCCCCAAAATTACCATTGCCCAGACCGCCCAATAGCCCGTCCTTTTCGCCTAATTGAAAGTACGATCCCGTAGTACCGAATTGCCTTCGTCGCCTCGACTTGCCAAACAGCATAACTGTCGTGAAGAAACCAACAAACAAGCCTAGTGAGATGAATGGATGGTTGCTGATGAAGTGACGAACAGATATATAAGCGCTCATGAAACGGCCGGTAGAAGACTTGGGGGTAATCTTGGGAGGATTGGCGGTGACCATTTTGATCGTTTCCAAGATAGCGGCACGGGAAAGGCGGATTGGCTCGCCGGAAATGGTGCTGTCCCAGTAGCGACGATTCTGTATTGAGTTAGTAAGTGAGATTTAAGGTAACAATTGAACAGATAGCTTACATCCTCATCATTGATGATGACACTCTCGCCGTCTTTGACATCAACACCGTACGTAGTCTTGATCCAGCGCTCCCAGAAAATACCATCGACCCACGCGAAGCCAACCTGAACACGGTCAATCTTGTCCATGTTGATACGGATGTTCTTCGCGTTTTGGAGGGCACGCTCGTCATTCTTGTCCTCTGCCTCTTCAATGCGGAGCTGCTTGGCATCACGGAGCTCTTGTCGGGAGAGTTGGAAGGCTGTTTCCTGCTTGTCGATCCACTCCAACGCGGCACTCTTCAGCTCACGCTTGGCAAGAATAAACTCGTCAGAACGGTCTCGGTTGAGTATTCCCAGCACAACAATCTTGCCATCCATGATATCGCGGGCATTGAGGGCAGTCATCTCTGGAACGATTGGCAACCAGACCGTCTTCATCCAGCTAAGGACCTTCTTGACATCGCGCATCTCAAATGGCGTCCGTGGCGGGTAGTACGTAGGGTTTCCATCTCTTGCAACCATCAACCGCGGCCAGGTAGAGATCTTGAACCGATCAAACATGGCCTTGTCGCTTGTCTTGACCAGCTTAGCATGACCAACCAAGCTAAGGGGAAGTCGCTCTAGCGCCTTGAAGTCCTCGGAAGTGGTCGCGTGATCGTAAAAGTAAACGAAAATGACCTCCTCCTTTTCTTCCATCTTCTTAAACTCTTCAGCGGTAACGTCTGGCACACCGGCACCAATGGCTGCCGCCTTTTCAGCATAGTCAAGCAAATCGCCCAACCCACGGAGGCCATGGTACTCGACACGCTCGCCGCCGCGGAAGAAGAGCATAGTTGGGTAGCCTTTAACATGCGCCTCCTTGCATAGCTTCTTTTCAGCATCACAGTTGACTTCTCCAATATTGAGCTTCCCCTTCATCTGACGTGCAAGATTCGCCCAGGTTGGCGCAAGAGCCTGGCAGTGGTGACACCACGGTGCATAGAATTTGATAAACCAGGGTTCCAGTGTACTGACGACATGCTTGTCAAAGTTGTCTACGGTAAGAATTGTGACGGTTCCAGAGGGATTGGCAGTCGAGGCTGGTTTGGCTGGTGCGGGAGATGGCTTGGTCTCCTTTGTGGGAGTTGCTTTGAGCGCTGCACTTGCGCTGGGACTCGCACTTGCAGCTGCAGGTTTCTTTTCCTCCTCCTTCTCCTTTTTGTCGCCATCGCCAGCCTCTTTAGGATCAGGACCAGTCTCTACAGAGGTAGCGCCAACCTTTGGTAGCTTAGGACCACCTTCCTTGCGGGTACCAGGCCTAATGGATTCCAAAAGTCCCTCTACCCAATCGCTAAAGTCCTTTAACTCCTTAGCACCTCGTAGTCTCTGCTTTACCTCGCCATCCTGGATGAAAAACGTGCTCGGGTAACTTTCAATATTGCGGTCCTTGCAGAGATCAGCGTAGGCAACGCAATCAACCTTGGCAAATTTGAAGTCATAGTATCGCGTAAAAGTGTTTAGAGAATCGCCGTCAGCATCGTCGGAGGACAGGAAGGGTTTCGAGGTGTAGTAGAACTCGTACGCGGTCTGGTAGATGGGCTTGAAGTGCATGCAGTGGCCACAATAGGGCGAGAAGAACTCGACTATCCTGGGTAGTGTCAGTGGAATTAATGACTATAGTCAAGCGTCTGTCTCGGCTTACCAGTTGCCCTTCTTGGTCTCCGTCTCTATCGTGGTTGGTGTCAACTCGATCATGGGCGGCACCTTCTCGCCATTGAAGATAGTGTCTGCTCCCTTCTCGTCCCAGCCATCATCTTTTCCGGCTTCATTGGCGCCTGATGCGTCTGCAGCGAGAGTGGAGGCTACCGTCGCCAGCGACAGTAGGGCATAAAGTATGGAGCGCATGGTGGCGCTGGTGGCGGGGAGCGGGATGCGCAAAAGAGGAACGGCTCCTCAGTGTAGCCGTTCACGGGCACTGCAGATGCTGTAACGAGCGTACGTATATATCGCCGTGGCCCCTAAAATTCGATTGTGAGGGTGTGTGATGACACCAAGAGGGAACCGTGTCTCCAAAAGTATATTGTCCCTGAACGCTTACATGGGACGGCTGTCTCTCCGCCCCCGGCTCCACATTGCTTGGCAAGTTGCATCTTCGTCCTGACGGCATCAGTACCGCGCACGCAAGCTATCCATTGCGCCACGACCCCACCTCCAATCCTCTGCCTGCAACCATGAGGGCCGCCTTCCGCCTCCTCGCCAGCGTCAAGCCCGGTCAATTCCTCGAGCCCGGCGCGCCAACCGGCCTCACAGGACTCTTCACCCACCCGGCGCCGCGTTCCACCCTGCTCTACCACTACAACGCCACTCTCGACAAGCTCAAGCAGCTCCCCGAATCTTCCGTATACCGCCAGTCCACTGAAGCCCTTACCAAGCACCGCCTCGCTATCGTCGAGCAATCCAAGCCCGCGGGATGGGACGCATGGCAGGAAAGAATCAAGCTGCAGATTAGCGATGACCCGGACAACTTCCAAATCATCAACACAGCCAGCGGACAGACTGTGGTCCTCCCCCCGCAGCTTTCTGTGGATGAGCGAGACAAGGCCGCAGAGTGGGATGGTGAAGCGGTGCAGACGTTCCCCGAGGGCATTCGCTCGTCCAAGGAGCGCCTGCCCCACGCCAAGAAGATGAAGGGCGATGCCAACTACACGCCTGAGCGCGTCTTTAGCAAGATCAAGTTTGAGCCTGAGCCTCAGTACACTGTTGAAGCGTATGTTAATGGATGGACATGTGGAATGCCAAGACTGGAGGCTGACACTTTTTTTTTATAGCATCTCGGATCTTGAGAGCAGAATGGGCGCAGGTCTGATTGAGGAGGTTATCCAAGTTGCTGAGGGCGAGCACAAGCTTGTTGATGTCATGATCCAAGCTAAGGTGTAAGTTTCTTGTTGATTGTATTTTTTTTTCGGAAGGGAGTTTGATCTAACGATACATAGATGGGAGCCTCTTGAGGAGCAAGCGCCAGAAGGCCAGTGGTCATACCATGAGCGCAACACGCACACCAGCACTCAGAAGCCATAAAGGGGGTTTGAGTGAGAAGGAGAGAAGATAAAACACACTTGTAAATAGATGGGGTGTGTAAGAAGAAGAATGACTACGTACTCGTTACGACTTGAAAGTGTTGGCCTGGCTTGCTGAAATGAAACCACAACTTGATCTCATTGACTTCAACTTATTGTTTTGAACACATTAGTCTGGACTTGCTGGCTTGAAATTCTAAAATTGCACCTATTTGCTTGGAAATATCCCAACTCGAACTTGAGGTCCTAAACCCAATTCTCTTGAAACTTCTAACCCAAGCTCTCCTTTACTCAAAAGACATCAACACAACCCCCCTGTGACCACCCATTACACTAACTTGGTAGTACTCGTCATGATTTTTCTTCCCTAATTCTAATACACTTCATTCCCCAAACTCCACATTGATACACCCATTTCCAATCCCCCCTTCTTACTATTACTTGCCCTCTCCCTCCTTCTTACCCGCCTCAATGCCCTGCTGCTCCTCCCCCCTCAACGCCCCCAACCTAACCTGATTCCTCTTGACCAAAATCCTGAGCGTATTCTGCCTCTCAATCTCGGCCATGGACTCCCAATTCGCAATGCGCGATAGGGTGCCGTCTTTATTCACCACCAGGGGGCCCAGATGGTCGAGTTTGACTGCTTGGCCGTCGACGTTGAGTTGGGTGGTGGTGTCTGTGGCTGTAGAGGGGGAGGGGAGGGGCAGGGGGGCTGCTGATGTGGATGCTTGGTCTTGGTCTTGAGGGGGGTTTTGTGGGTCGGGCTGTTGGGTTTTGGTGGATTGGACTTGCTCGGAGAGTGGAGATTGGGGGTTGGACGAAGACATTGTGTGGTTGTGATGTTGAGATTGGAGTTGATGAATTGAGTTGAACAGAGTTGTGAGTGAGGGTTTTCCGTTTTTGCGAATAGCGCTTGATGGATAGAAAATTGCTCGTCGCTGCGTGCGTAGAATTTGGCCAAGAAATTTTGTTGGTTGCATGAATGACATTGAGAAGTGTAGAATGAGATAGTTACAGAGTGGCTATATGAATGTTGGGGTTGCAAGGTGTAGAAACGGTGTTGGAAGCTTCTTGTTTGTGGTGGTGCTTCTAGAAAGCTCCGAGTACTGTAGCTACATCACTCGCGCGTACCCAGTGCTTTTTTTTGCAAGAACATCACGCACAGAAAATCGAGAAACAGAAATAGAAGTCTCTCGAGTCTCTAGTATGGCCTTTCTATCGACTCTGAAAAGACACACAAGAGCGCTCTCCAGAATCAGCACCAACAAATTACGCATGTGGTTGTGTGTGTGTGGGGACCCAGTCGAAACAGGCAAGAGCCCACAGCCAGGGCGCCCACTTTTTTTCTTCAGGATATCTGGTATACAACGGCCCACTAATCCCGCCCGTGTGAACCATCTTCCGCCTTTGGTATCACGTTTATTTTTTTCCTTTGTTTTTTGACATAGGCGAGTTTGTAATGTAATCAGAGTTATCGAACAAGGAGCATAGACCAATTATCTCGGCCGATAGCAGCCACCATGGCAGTCTACATACGTAGGTGTACAGTATGTTGACGGCCTCGAAACACTTGGTTGCTGGGTAAGGCCCTGGTATGGCGCAATCACATACACAAGGTGCATTTGAAACGAGAAGGGTTTTGACAGAAGCGAAAGAAGGCTGTGGGTGGACATGTCCTGCATGCACGCCGGCAGCACGATGGATGAGGATTGCAAATGCGTGTGTGTGTGTGTGAGTGTAGGATGCGGCACAGTGTACAAGGGGCGACCCAGGGAAACGGATGGCAGCGACAGGCGCCATGTCGTGAAGGACACGGGTTGCCGTGTCCCAGCAGAAGCGTGTCAACTGCCGCTGCAAGGCGGACCCCAACCCAAGCACCCGCGTTGAGGCGTTGATTTCACAGCGGCAGGCGAGTCGAAACAAAGCAGGGCAGAGGGCAGCGGAAGAGTCCATCCGGGCGCAGCATCAGCGGCGAGTGGTATGGTTTTGGCATGGTTGTGGCCTGGCCGCTACGCAATGTGGACGTCAGGGGGGCCCGTTCCAGCCCTCACCGGTCCTTTTAATTTTTGTTTTTTTTCTTCGGGGAAAGCGGGCAGACCAGAGGAGGAGAGTGAAACTCACGAGGTGCATGGCATGGGGGAGCGGCGGACATGGGATGGCAGCGGACAGGCGCCACGACACAACACTCACGGCGAGCGGGCCAGAGGCTGCTGGGCTGCTGCACGACATGGCGCTTGTGTGCCGGTGGGCCTTGGCGGGCTGGCAGGATGACGGCAGCTGGACACACAGGCGGGCAGAGCAGCCCACTTTGACGCCCACCCAGCTCCGGGTATCATCCACACTCCCAGATCCGGGAGCGCAACCGCAAGTGGGACTGGAGCTTATTCCAACTTCGCGCGCTGACTGCTCACGTCCCAGCAGTCCCAGCATCGTGGGCAGCCCCCCTTGAACCTTGAAGGCGACGACGCGTACTCTTGCTGGGAGAGAAAACTGCCTGAGACGGCCTAGCGGTTTCGGGGATTAGGCTGGGCACGATGCGCAATTTCCAGCGGCGAGCACGGTGACGGGTTCGCAACGAGGGTGGTGTCGGGCGTGCCGCTGCCATGGCATGGCTGATGATGGAACAACACGTGGGGTTCCCTTGAGCGCCGCTGCAGCCAGCAGTGACGAGCTAGCGACGAAAAAATATGCATGGTGGCAGGCCCAAAGCAGCAACCCTCGTCGCATCTGCTCGTTCCGCTTCCCTCTTAGCAGTGACAACAGGGCATGCATGCCGTGCAGCCGGAGAAAATTTGTCGGCCAGCATGTTGTCGAGGCGTTGCAATGAGCGCCTCGGCGTTTTGTTCCGCAGAAAAAGCGCGCCTTGTATCCTGCCAAGCATGTAACGTAAAGCATCGGCAGGCCGCAAGCGAGAACCACGGCAGGGCCCTTGTTTGTGCACGGCCGAGCCGCCGGCTGGGACAGCAGCGCTGGCTAGGTCTAAGTAGTGTACTTACTAAACACGTGTGGGTGTGGGTGTGTGTGAGGATCCAGGTATGTGCAGAACATGGACGGTTATGTACGCTCTGTGCAGAAACAAGAAGGCGGCAGGCGTGTGCAGGCAGGCAAGTATAGCCGTCAAGGCAATCCCGGCACTTCCCCGATGCTACCTCGACCTAGTGCTCGCTGTAAGAACATGCCGACCACCAGAATAGCTGCCTGTCACCGTATCAACTCGAGTCAGCCGCGGCATCGTGATCAGACGACACTAGCCGCCATCTGTAAGCTAAGTGGCCGACCCATAGAGCAGTCGTCGCCATTGCGGCCATGGCAGGCGTGACATGACTGTATCTGTGTGTGTAATGGCATTGTTGTGCGTAGTATAGCAGCGCCAGCACAACCACGTCGCGCCTTGCATTGTTGGCCGCCGCCGTCGTGCCGCATGCGCCGTTTCGATTTGACAACAGTGCGCCGCGGACCTACTCGCGTCGAGGTGCCCAGGCTTCGAGAAGACGTGTTTCAAGGCCGGAGGCGTGGCCGTCCTCTAGGGTAGGCATGGGGAGCGAGCCTGTATGTGTACAAACTTAGTCATACGCACGTATGTAGTATGTACACACACATGCTGTGTGCGCACATTGGAGTACACTGCAGGAGCGCAGGCCGAGCGATTGACGAGCCGAAGATTTAGCGGACGCCGTTGCAGTTGCAATCTCAGCCCAAGGGTCCCCCCTGCTTGCGCGCTAGGCCGCTCTGGGATAAACCTACGTCACGCTCACCAGACTTTTCCTCCCCCCAGCCTCGGCGGCGACCAACAGCCACGGCCGCCACGCCAGGTGGTGCCGGTCGGCCATCTTGTCTGTCTGCCCACCTCCTCATCCAGCCATCCGTCTGGCCGTCTGGCAGCAGCACAGGATTCGCACCTGTTTCGGGCAGTGAGCATCTGCAACTCGAGTTATGTCGCGGGCGCCCCGTGCAGTCGAACCGCGAGCGTCTGTTGTCTGTGTTCGCCGGACGCCGTGGGTTTCATGGTCGGATATAAGGGAAAGGACCCTAGCAAAGCCACAGCCGCCAATGCGACAGCAAAGCTCGGCCTTTGTCGGATGGATGCTTGCTGCTCGGATGAGTTGCTTGCCCTCGCGCCTCGCTGCTCTAGAGTACCGATCCGATGGCTCTGACTCTGACAAGTTGCTGCAACTAAGGCGTGCGCCGACGGGTTGCTGTGCTGGTGGTATAGTACAGTAATAGTAATACTGTGCATGCTCGCGCGCGACCGTTTCCATGGGTGGTCGCCCCTTGGCCGTCCCGTGGGCAGAAGAAAAAAAAGCTAGTAGGCGTGGGAAATTGTTGCAGTTCGGCCCTGGCCGCTGGGCCGTGTGCGTGTGTGTGTGTGTGCGCCCACGGCCAGGCTTGTGCGGCTCTTGTTCTTATCGATTGCAGCGCAGCGGCGGCGGAGTGGATGAAACCCAAACCCCTAGGCAGTGGCAGCGCGGCCGTCGACATGGACATGGACAGCACGGCGGCGGGTTGATACGGCGGCAGAGGACGATAGGAGACGTGGTCGGCGGGCACGATTCAAGGGCACCGCCAGCGCGTTGGCCTGGCTCCTGGCTGCAAAGGGCCTGCGTGCATGGGCAACGCAATTGGGTGCCTGCTCCGTTAGCACACGAACAGCTGGCGTCATTGGTAATGGCCTTTCTTGCAGCGGACAACGGGCTGCGCATACGCGCTCCAATGCAAATGCAGACACGGTGCGAATATAACGTACATGAAAAGTCGTCCCAAATCCAATCACGTGTGCCCAGCAACGCCCTCTCGGCGCTTCTTTGGGGCCTGAGTGCATTGTCTTTCTCCTGCCTCCTCCCACTACCCTCCGCACGCCCTGGTTTCTGTAACGTCGTGGCCATCCCATCCCGACGCGCTTGCCGCCACACCACCTTGTCCGCATCCACGTCCACACCCACTCCCACGCCCACACTATCACTCTTTGCTCCCATCTCGTGCGGGTCCCGGCCGCTCTGCCTGTTCCCCGTCCATTATTCATCTTTGCTCCTCCACAGCACATTGCACGACTTGCACGCTGCCACTGCAACTGCCACTACCCGACTCTTGCGACTTACTACTCCCCTACTGCCATCGTTGCCCTGTGCAAATCTGCGCCCGCTACGACTAGCCGTCGGCCAAGCTCCGGCATTCAGCAGCACGCGTGCGCAAACAGGAAGTGCCTGGTGCGGAAAGCCGACGCTCGACTACAGCACTATCCTGTGCATATTTTTTCGCCGACCGGTACCTGTACCCCGAGCTACCTTTACCTTCCCCCCTCGCCCCTCGCCCACCCCAAGCCTCCCCCAACAGCCTTCATTCCTGTCGTGGGTCTTCCGTCCCTGCCTCGTGCCTCGCCCTCTCCACTTGGGCTATCCGCAATCAGTCGGCTGAGGCTGAAGTGTGTGTGGGCCTCTGATCTGCAGCTGCTTCCTTGTCCCTTCGCGTCAATTACCGCGCCAGCCAGCCAGGCAAACCATCGCAGCGCTTTTTACTAGTGCAGCGCAGGAAAGTCCATCGTCACCGACCCATCACCTTTTTCAATTCTGCGCCGTCGCCACGCCTTTCCACTCCCAACCTTTGTCCCATTCACCCACTGTGGACACCACTCCAAATTCCACTTCTCCCGTCAAAAGGTACCCGCCGACGGACGCGAATCGACTGTTCATCGCAATCCCCCACACAGGCTCCACCCTACAAAGCTTCTTCGTGGGCCATCCTTCCCTTACCTTGCGACGTTAGCCCAACGGCCCTCCTTGGTGTGCATACCCAGCCGTTGCACACGTTACTCCGCTTCTGAGCTCCGTCGAATGGTCCCGTAACGAACCACAATTGGTTGCGCCTTTTCCCACCATCACTTCTCCAACCTTGACCCGCCCATAGGAGCTGTGTTGTGTACTACATTATGGACAGTACAGACCGCTTCCGCCAGCCTGGCCTAGGCAACTACCCGTCAATAGGCCAGCAGTTTAATGGCTCCCAGAACCAGCTGCCCACACTGCCGCCTCTGCAGAGCGGTGGCAGCCAGTATGCGCCGCCCATGTACGGCCATAACAGCAACCCTCACACGCCCCAGCCGCCGCATACGCCTGTGACGTCTGCACCCAATGGCACCTCTACCATGCCACCGCTGCAGCACCCGCCGCTGCGACCTCTTCAGCCTACGCCAACGTCGTACCTGCCTATGAGCTCGGCCTACTCGCAGGCGCCCATGCTGTCCACCGCGTCTGCACACACCAACGGCCACCAGCTGGGCCCTTCACCCGGCATGGGCTTGGGACACACGTCCATGTACGCCCATCCACCTGTGCTTCCCAACCAGGAGCCCGAGCCAGTCCACGTTGTCGGTCAGCAAGGCCGACGCGGCGTTTTGCCGACTCATCCTGGACGGCCCGCGCCAGCTGCTGGTAAGACACCTACTACCGCAACCAAGAACGCCGAGGGCAAGTACGAGTGCCCGCATTGCAACAAGACATACCTGCACTTGAAACATCTCAAGCGCCATTTGCTGCGACGTAAGTTTTTTTGTTCAACATCTAACCACAGCCAGCTGCTAATGTTACATGCTCAGACACGGGTGAACGACCCTACCAGTGCCATCTGTGCAAGGATACGTTTAGCAGAAGCGACATCCTGAAGCGTCACTTCCAGAAATGTTCGATACGAAGGGGAAACCCGACTGGCGCCAACCATCTGCAGCACGCGCAGCAACATCTGCAGAAGAACAGACAGCCCACTGGTGCGGACCAGAACTCGTACCTTAACCACATCGGCCCTAATGCCATGTCATACGCCGATGCTGGGGGCTACTCCATGGGTCTGCCGCAGATGCCTGCCATGGCCGGAAATGGCTTTGGTGACAACCTGCCTTCGCTTGCCAACCATCAGTCCATGTCGGCGCGTACTTCGCGCTCAAACAGCTTGATGCGCCCCAGCAGCGGCGTTGAGGACAGTGCCCACCGTCGGAGCATGTCTGCTATGGACTTTGCCAATGCCCGGATGAACTTTAATGATTATCGCCCGGATGGAGTCCCCAATGGTTATCCACCGCAGCAGCAGCAGCAACAGCAACAGCAGGCTCAGCAACAGGCTCAGCAGCAGCAACAGGCTCAGCAGCAACAGGCACAACAACAGCAGCAGCAGCAGCAGCAGCAGCAACAGCCTCCGACTAACGGTTCCGATCCCAACGGCCACTACAGCTATGAGCAGGCCTCCACAAATGGATCAATGGCGCAAAACGGCATGACCGTTAAGAGCGAGGGCACCGACCCAGCTTCATACGGAGTCTCTACCTTGCCAAACGTCGATGGCATCACCAATGGCCAGGATGGGTCGCTATGGCGAAATGGATCGTTCAACGGCGATATGAATAATTCCAGTACGGCAGGTGGCCCAACCTTTCAAAAACAGGCCCAGTTCTGACCGGAACTTTTAGACCTCAGATGATACACCGAATGAAAGTTTATTTGGATTTTACTCGCACGTTCCCGGGTTGGTCGACTCTTCTCCAACACTCGATGGTTGGTTCATTGGCCAAACCACCTCTGATCCAGTGCACAATCTGGCTACTTCACTTGTGAATTTTTGCTCCCCGAATGCACCTCTACTCTCAAATCAGCACTCAACCGAGGCGTACACCCACGAAAGACTGCAAACAATGTTGACTGGAGACAACGTCAAGGAATTCCTACACGAATACAGGCACTATCAAGCGCATTTTCCTTTGATACACATTCCAACATTTGATCCCTTCACTGCCTGGCCCGGGCTGGTGTTGGCCATGTGTTGTGTTGGTGCCGTGTATTCTGACAAGATGAATCCATCAGACGTCCGTTGGCTTATGGACCGCGTCCGGGAGAATGTGTTGCGATCCAGTCAAGTTTACGAGATAGCGCAAGCACATCAAATGGCGGACCTTGATAACCAGCTGACGTCCACGACCGAGGAGATACAAGCCCTGGTCCTACTCCACTCCCAGTTCCTATGGCACGGTTCGCAGCAGCAACGTCAACAAGCGCGAGATGAAGTCC